ATGTTGCATCTAACGCTTCAGCACTACAACTAGGACAGATCATGTGAAAGGTGAAAACAGGCTTTCTGGAGCAGACATCTTACACTAACTCTGACAACAACAATCTGCTAAAATAGCGATGCAAAACAATTACAGCTACCTTTTTTATTCAGAATTGTTACTTACCTTGTTTTTCCAGTAGGAGGCACTGTATACTCGCTTATAGTCATTTTTATCAGGTTTCATGATCCAAACAGTGCAGTGACAGGGATTTACAGCTTTTCTGTGGTACTATGTTTTGGTCACTCCTGGAAACACTAATTTTCCTTCCTTTTTTCGTTTCCCTTTTTTCTTTCTTGTTTTATTTTTTAGATATAAATTGAGACACTCAATGCTATCCCAGGGGAGGAGAACTCAACTAACCAATGAAAATGCAAAAAACATTTCAGCACATGTGAACATGTTACATGGCTCCATATTTTCTCCAATAAATAGTGCGTTTTTTACTAGTTTTTTTCTCTGTGATTGCCTAAAGAAGCTCACCTTCATTAGTAAAAAAGTATTTAACATTATATTAACAATAATTATATATATCCATACAGAATCTTGTTTACACAATATGCTGTATTATTAGAAATAAAGCCAACTTCTGTAAAACTCACTAGGCACTTTATTAGGTACACCTTACTAGTACTGGGTTGGACCCGCTATTGCCTTCAGAATGGCCTTAATCATTTGTGGCATAGATTCAACAAGGTACAGGAGATATTCCTCAGTGAATTTGGTCCATATTGACATGATAGCATCGCACAGTTTCTGTATGGCTGTATATCGGCAAACAACGCATGTCTCCCACCAGTGCCGATATACAGCCAAATCGCATTGCTACTTGTGTGATATTGCTCATATATATATATAAATATATATATATATATATATATATATATATATATATATATATATATATATATATATATATATATATATAGTAAAAAAATATAATAATAAAATATTAATGCTTTGGTTTTGATTGTGTTCCAAACTTCCAATGATGTTTGTGTGTTGTATAATGTAAATAATATGAAATGTTAAATGCATTAAAAACTGTATGTGTCTGTTTGTTCAAGTGTTTACATTTCTAGCTTCAAGTCATGTGAATATATTTCCTAAATCGCTTCTATCTAAGTTATTAAGCAGATGGTTATCATCTCATAGCTGATAACAGAATATACACTGCTAGATTATAATGTGCAAAGCCATATTTCAATGACTTCATCCACCAATGCAGTTTATGTCTAGTGTGTGAAAGTTTTTGACTGTTACACAGAAAAACCAAGTGCTTACTTGGAATATAAGGGAGTGTCTGGTGAATTCTCTCCATCTCTTTCTTTTGTAAGCCTATAACCTGTTCTGCAGTGGCATTACTTTGAAGATTGTGTGTGGCTACATTTAGATCACTGACTTAGCAGCATTTTTATCCACAGAGTCATCAAGCTCCTGTCATCCCGCTGACACAGACATAATTATTGGCATCATTTAACACAAGCGCCCAAAGAGTCTTTTATCACATTATAATCCGTCACAAACCAAGGACTGAATACCCAGAACAGCAAATGAGGCAGAGAATCTTCACGCTTCACATCTACACGTAGCTTCAGCATATTGTTCAGCAGGATATCTGCTTCTTACTCAGGACTGTTAATGTTAATGATAGAGAGCTTTTCACTAATGGGCGGGGCTTTCTCTCTCTGATCACATGTGCAAATATCTCTTTAGTTAGGCTTTCACAATATATTTCTCATGACTCCACATAAGCTAGCCATATTTTAAAAAAATGATATTATAGATATATTAGATGTATTATAGATTACACTCACCGGCCACTTTATTAGGTACACCTCACTACTGGATTGGATCCCGTTTTGTCTTCAGAACTGCCTTAATCCTTTGTGGCATAGATTCAACAAGCCACCAGAAATATTCCTCAGACATTTTGGTCCATACTGACATGATAGCATCATGCAGTGGCTGCAGATTTGTCAGCTGCACATTCATTATGTGAATCTCCCATTGCACCAGATCCCAAAGGTGCTCTATTGGATTGAGTTCTGGTGACTATGGAGACCATTTAAGTACAATGAATTTATTGTCATGTTCAAGAAACCAGTAGTGAGATCATTCACGCTTTTTGACGGTGCGTTATCCTGCTGGAAGTAGCCGTCAGAAGATGGGTACACTGTGATTGTAAAGGGATGGACATGGTCATCTACTATACTCAAGTGGGCTGTGGTGATATATTAAATTATATTAATGCGATATATGTGATATATTAAAGTATATCTTTGCTTGACATTTGTATAAACAGCATCCATAATATGCTTTTCTGCAGAAAAAAACACAACAACAACAAAATAATAATAATAAAAACCACAGACTCCTTTATCTCCTTTAGAGATGCTAAAGGTCTAATCTGATTCAATGATTTATGCTTAGCTAAAAGTGCTCCTGCCAGACTGGAGATCAGCTGGATGGATAAGTAAAATGGTAAAACTCAGGTACTTATAAAATGAGCATTTCTCCAAAATAAAAAGTGGTGTTCCTTTAAAAATGTTTTGGTTTTGCAGTGCCTTTTGGCAGGCTTCTGTCCTCTTTACTATTCGTCTCTTTCTTGAGGTGGAAAGTAGTTTGTCTATCCCTTGGGAAAAGTGTGAGTTTCTGATACAGCATGCTGGTTTTTCTTGATGTCTTTCTGTTATAATTTCTAATCTTAGTTGCCTTAAGTGCAGACAGAATGTAGATTAGGGAATTATGTAACTTAAAGAAACACAAACCAAGTCATGTTTATTTATACAATCATATATTAATTTGATTACACAAATCATGCTTTGACATCAAGGACTCCCAGCAGGTCGTAACTAAGTGGAAAGTCTAAAAAAAGGCTCTTCTCAAATGAATGGGCAGAGAGCAGCACACACACACACACACACACACACAAACACACACTCAACAAGTTTTTCCAGCCCTTGTACAAAGTCAGCCTGTGATGACATAATGGGAACACTGTATCACTGAACCAACATGAGATATGACGATGCTCTACAAAGGGTTGTAAAATATATGATAGACTGACATTCATAAATGAAGCTTGGCGAAATAGTTACTTTCAGTGTTTCGATTTAGGCTGACAATGAACTATTGGGTTAAATGGGGAAAATATAATTGGATTGTGTTAGTTTTTTGTTTCGAGTCATTGCAAATGGTACAGTATTTCAAAAATGTATCAGTTTTAAAGGGATGCACAATATCAGGGCCATATCAATTATGGGCCAACATCACTGAACATTTTATTAATTGTGATTGGCTATTATATAGCATTGTCCAAATTTATTTATTTCTTTTGGCTTAGTTTCTTTATTTATCAGGGGTTACCACAGTGGAATGAACCGCCAACTGATCCAGCATATGTTTTACACAGCAGATGCTCGTCCAGCTGCAACCCAGCTGCAACCCAGTACTGGGAAACACTCATACACTCTCACAGTCACACACATACACTACAGCAAATTTTTATTCAATTCACCTATAGCGCATGTCTTTGGACTGTGGGGGAAACTGGAGAACCCAGAGGAAACCCATATCAACACAGGGAGAACATGCAAACTCCACACAGAAACGCCATCTAACCCAACTGGGGCTTGAACCAGCAACCTTCTTGCTGTGAGACCACAGTGCCAACCACTATTTTTAAATGTAATAATTAAATATGGATATACAAAACATCATATTATACACATTAATAACATCAAATAATATTTTAATATTATATTTATGAAAAGAATGAAGTGTAACATTACATTAATTTGGTATATATTATTGTATTTTATTTATATTTAACAATAATATGTATTAATAATTATTGTTATAAACATACTCAATATTTCTAAATATATAACTTAATATGCTAGTATATATTAGATTATATTTCATTGATTTATGTTTAATAATGATCTTTAATAGCATGTACTAATATTTATAGTAGATATGAACATTCTAGATGTGTATAAATATACACTCACTAACTCGTTTCGTTTTCTGCTGCCACATTAAGATGGAAGGGTCAGAATTTGGCGTCAACAACATGAATGCATGGATCCATCCTGCCTTGTATTAATGGTTCAGGCTGATGGTGGTGGTTTAATGGTGTGAGGCATATTTTCTTGGCACACTTTGGGCCCATAAGTACCAATTGAGTATTGTGTCAACACCACAACCTACCTGAGTATTGTAGATGACCATGTCCATCCCTTTATAATCACAATGTACCTATCTTCTGATGGCTACTTCTAGCAGAATAATGCACCCTGTCATAAAGCATGAATCATCTCAGACTGGTTTCTTGAACATGACAATGAGTTCACTGTACTCAAATGGCCTCCACAGTCACCATATCTCAATCCAATAGAGCACATTTGGAATGTGGTGGAATAGGAAATTTGCATCATAGTTGTGCAGCCAACAAATTGGCAGCATCTGCGTGATGCTATCATGTCAATATGGACGAAAATCTCTGAGGAATTATTTCAGTACCTTGTTGACTCCATGCCACAAAGGATTAAGGCAGTTCTAAAGGCAATATTGGGTCCAACCTAGTACTAGTAAAGTGTACCTAATAAAGTGACCGGTGAGTATAGATTCCAGTGTATATTAACCTACATTATTATCTTTAATTCAACTATTTATGTTTATGATTATACTTTTAATTGATATATTGAAATAATATTCACATAATGTAACTAATCAAAATAATAATTAGGCATATATTCAATTATCCTATGTCATATTACTGTATAATATTATATAATTTTTTTAACATTATTTTTATAATGTAAAATTTTCAAATTTTCAAATGATCTAATCCAACTTCAAAAGGTCTGCTGATGCGCGCGCAAACAAAACTTCATTTCCCACACTGCAAAGCATCCAACAGCTTCAAACAGCTGACAGAGGGCGAGACCTACGCGAGCGCTTCTCAGAGGCTTCACGGGATATTCATGCAACATCTGAGGCGGAACAAGCTGACAACACGTCCTGTCAGGCTGTCAAACCAGTCCACGACTATGTTTGACGAGTGCGTTTGCGCCCCAAACCAGTAACAAAACTTATCTAGACTAGGACTGTCACCTCCGTTTAGTTTACAACAGCATGTCTTTGCACTAGTGTTTTGCTGTAGTTCGAGCTCATGCCCCTAAAGCCGTGCCAATGCCGAGGAATGGAGACTAGCAGTGTATCTGGTAAAGTTGGAAAGATGGTCACAAGTGATGAGGAGCATTTGCAGTGCAGTAACGCAGGAATGGACGCGCTTCACCAATGTGAACTGATCCAGAGACTGATCGAGATCTCCATCTCTAGTCTGAAGGGGCTCCGGACCAAATGCGCCGCTTCAAACGACCTGACCCAACACGAAATACGTGCTTTAGAGGTAATAACATTCAGTTTTTGGATGCCTACCTGCTTTTTGACAGGTTGCATTATCTTACATCAAGTTTGCACCACTTGTTGTGTGATTTAGTGTTCGATAATAGCTGCAATAGCTGCTTGCTTTATTTATCATTCATTATGTTGTCTGTTAATACATTGCATTGAGGTGAAGTTGGGTTTATATTCGCACATTTGGACTTTCACCTTGCTAATATAATTTCAGATAGGTATTCTTGGGAAATTCTAAATAATATCAGCAGCCAATGACTATTAAAGTACAACATTGTTTACAGTCATTTAACAATAAATAGTGTTAATGTTGTTTTGAAGTCATATTTACAAGCAGTTTTAGACTCATTATTTAAAGAAGCATGTTACCAATTGTAACTAATCAAAAGTGAACGAATGTGCTAATATAAAGCCAACTTTACCCCAATATACAATTGTTGTATAATTTGTAGGGCCACGGAAACCCCCTCTTACTTCCTGGTTGTTTGGTGTAGTTATTGAGGGTGCATTTGACAACCCCCCTTATGATGTAAAGCTTTACTTGTGCAATGCTAAGTAGACATGTTTGCGGTTGAAAAATTGAACAGCACTTTATCTGTGATGACATGAAGTGGTTGCTGCTTCTTTAAACGCGCCATGGATTTAGTGTTGTGAATATAATCATATGTTTACTTGATATGGTGCATTTGGCTAAAGCATAAACAGGCCTTATTGAGGTGAAGTTGGTTTTATATTCGCACATTTGTTCAAAGATAACTTGTGACATGCTCCGTATATTGTTTACCATGATACTTTAAATATTCAGTCTGAAATCACATGGAAGTATGACTAGGAGTATTAACATTTAAAGGGCACCTATTTTACCTCTTTTGCAAGATTTAAGATAAGTCTTTTGTGTGTCCACAGTGCGCCTGTAAAGTTTCCTCTCAAAACACCCATCAGATTATTTATTACACCTTTCAGAATATTGGATTTTCTGCTCTGAACACAATGTAGCTGTTTTTGTTGCCTGAGCCTTTATAGCTAGTTCTCTCTGGCCACCGTTCCCATGTGCCTGTCAGAGTTTGCCTTAATCTCCGCCTTGGCTGCGTTAGATAATCAGCACAGTGACCGACATGAAGCGTTCCTCATGTAACGTTTGTGAATAATACTATAGTTAGAATGATTATTTGTTGTATTTGTTGTGGAGTTAATTCAAGCTTTTCTGCAATGATGAGTCACACACTAATGTGACTGGATACACGTTAATATCCACTGCTGTATGAATATTCGCTATGTTAATGGTCAAGAATAACCCTGATTTAACGCCCCCAAACCGGAATTGAATCGTCTTCTTTTATAAATGTAGTGACATGCGGCTGTGTCGATTGTAAAGACTGTAAAATCGATGTAATTCATTACATACATGCACTGTTTTAAAAACGTTTTAATCTTGTAAAACTCACTCTTGATCACATTTAATGATGACTGATGATCACAGAGAGCTAAACAGATCTTTTAGTCCCAGTTGCTTTGCGCACGTCTCATCTTGTTGATTTGGTGTGTGTTACTACTGAGACATGTTAATATGCGCCTGTTAATCAGTTCGGTGGACGGGGAAACCACACTCCTACGTTAAAATGTGTGGGATTTGAATCATATTTTAACATCAGGGAATTTAAAAAAGCGACTTATTGTCTTAATATCAACCCCAATATAGGGCTGGACAATAATTCGATATTAATTTATATTGCGGTAGATTTTTTTTTTTCTATAACGGTGATTTTTACAGTGAGTATTAAACCCATTTACGGTATTTCGATATAAATTTGCATGAATATACAGGGCTCGAAATTGTAACTATTTTGGTCGCATGTGTTCCAGAAATTTAATTGATGTGACCTCATAATATATTTGGGAGCATTTGTGCAGCTGCATATAATTGGTGTAGTGCGACCTGTTTTGTTTTTTTCTAAAGATGTGCTAAATCGCTCTGCCCTGCCGATATATTGGTTAATATTAACTGTCAAGCACTCAAGGCTTTCCACTGTCAGATGACAGGGAGCTTTTGTGACTGCGGGAAGTGCAAACGGTTGAAGAGTGAAAAGTACACAGGTTTGCAAACTCTACTTAAAGTTACAAAGGCTACATCGCAGATGAGAGCGATCATGACATGTGTTGAATGTTGATCTGCCTGCTGAGATCAATGGATTGTTTTCAGAGAAGGTGCCTGATTCTAGATGCGTTGCATTCTACGTGTTCAGCGCAAATGTCCGCTAAATGTAAAATATAATACTGTACACATCATCGCCAAAGAATCTTGCCTTTACTAAGTTTACACTGAATCTGCAGCTCATAACAAAGAGCGGTACTGCGCCGGTGGTGCTTCAAACCTGCTTTTCCACAAATACAGAAAAATGAAGATCAGCTCATAACGAGACTGAGCATTTACAGTGGCACAAACCCAAACCTAAACTTTTAAAGAGTGGTAGAAGTGAGGCTACTTTCTTTTGTCCGTTCTTTCTTGAGATGTATATTATTTTGCTTATTAGTTACTAATGACTGTTTTGCAGCTTTCAGCATTGATGTATTTTAGTCTTTCGTTTGTTTTGTAGCAGAAATATAATTTATTAAACTGACATGCATATAAAAACAAAAGTGCAAAATAAATATTTCTCACTGCAATGCTTCATTTTTGTTTGATGCAAATCATAAATTAAAATTTTCATAATGTAACAGACATTTTATAGCAGATAGCTCACATTCAAGCACATCCAAAGCAGCATCATAATGAGAAATGTAATATAAGAGCCTGGAAGTTATTATAGACTTTGCAAATTCAGTTTGCATTTGTGGGTACAGATATCCATTGTGTGCAGTCTTGCCAAAGTTTTACTGGCTTTTTAATATTGTCCCTATAAATATCGCAATTATATCATATCGACCGATATTAAGAAATATATCGTGATATAATTTTTTGCCATATCATCCAGCCCTACCCCAATATGACTGTAGACACACTATATTTATACACTATATGATTTTCATCAAAGGTGCCCTTTAAATAAATAATGCTAATATTGTACTTTAATAGTCATTTGCTGCTGTATAGATTGCAAAGAACACTTTTCTGGAATTATGTTATTGAGAAGAAAGCCAGAATGTGTAAATATAAACCTAACTTTATCTCAATACAGGCATCCAAGCCAAGTTGTTTTGCAAAACATTAGCAAGCCTGCTTTTTTCTGCTCTTTTGATAATGAAGTTACTAATGCTTTCATTTTGAGTAACTGTCAAACTCTTCTTAGTGGTAATCACTGCAATGGAATACTTTTGCAATAGTCTCTTCTAGATGAGTAAACTAGTCAAAGTCCTGAAGCTGATTCAAAACTGTAGGTTCCATGTCAAACGGCTTGTTATCTCAGTTTAGCTCTGCAAACAAGTGGAGCATATGTCAGACAGAGCGTTGGAGCTATTTTTAACCATACTCAGGTATTTTGAAACGGTGGTTAACCCCTCCCACTAAAAGTGAACTGAAATCCCAAGTTGGTTGAGCCTGTGGAAAAGCGTCACTTTTAATCCTAATGTGTTTGTATTTCTTCAAATAACATAACATGGCTGCTTTTCCATGAAGATTAGTTTATCTACTTGGTAAGGTCAAGCACCTTTTTCTCCAAATAAAAACTTTTCAAGTTCCCACTTGGAGATCTATGCTTGGAGACTCTCACATTTTAAAATAATCATGATAGGCTTTTTCAAATAAACCATGCATCTTTTCTGCTAGTTCTCACAGACACAGGTGATTATCACATTGTGGTGGATTGGTGCTTATTTCGGAGATCCTTATCTACTCGCTGTGTATATCTTAGGGAGGTGCTTCAAATATTTCTCATGGTTAAATACAGAAATGGCATCCGTTCAAGCAAGGCTGTGTCAAGTTTTTAATCACTTGTCTTATAATAAGCCAAGTGCAAGAAAGGGAATGGAAAATATGCCCTCCAAACCACAACAACAATTATGTAACAGAAAATGATAATGAGTGGTGGCCCAAGGCCACACAGTGAACTATAATTACAAGCAATATAAATATGCTAAACAGTAGGCAAAATGTAGCCAGAGTGCTATATACAAACTAAAATATAGTGTTAAATATAGTGTCAGATACATTTGTGTTGCAAGATGTAAACAGAGTCTAGTGCCCATAAAATGACTGTAATGCAGCAAGGATTGTGCTGAGGTAGAACAACAACAAGCAGAGTCAGGGGTATGGGTTGCATTTCTGCGTTGGGTGGGGGTGGACACTGACAGTACATTTGTTGATGGGAAGAGTTACTGGATAGTCTCTCACAACTTGTGGGAAGAGGCCGTTCTTTTATCTGGTGGTTTTTTTCAGCACCTCAGTCTTTCTCCAAATGGTATAATATGAAACAATTCAGATGCAGTGATGAACTGAGCTGCTCTCGCTTCCCATGAAAGAGATTTATTTTACAGCAATTAACATGTCAGACAGTGATCCAGCAGGTAATTCAGGTACTCTGTGTGACACCTCTATATAGCTGCTAAATTTTCACTTTCTAATTTTAGTCTTCTCTAGAAGAAAGTACTGTCAGGTTGACTTTGATCACTGTTGAAGTGTTGGTGATTTGCGTAAACTCTTCATTTATGTTTTTTTTTTTTTTTTTTGGCAGAACAGAACAGAGGTGTTTTACCTTTTCCCTTGCAACAATATTTGGTGCAATTTACTAGGACTGCACGATTTGGATATACAGTTGAAGTCAGAATTATTTGCCACCTGTTTATTTTTTTTCCCCAATTTCTGGTTTAACCAAGAGAAGATTTTTTTTTCAACACATTTCTAAACATAATAGTTTTAATAACTCATTTCTAATAGCTGATTTATTTCATTTTTGCCATGATGACAGTAAAGAATATTTTACTAGATGTTTTTGAAGACACTTCTATACAGCTTAAAGTGAAGGCTTAGCTAGGCAGGTTAGGGTAATTAGGCAAGTT